TTAAATATTACTGGGTTTTCTCCAGGCTATTCCTTGGGTAGGGGACTTTATTGTTTTTTTTCCTGGAATTGGTGACCTATGGCCTAGTTCCTGGGACTGGTGACTTTTGGGAAGTTCAGGCCTGGTTCTCTAATTCCCTGATTTTCACAGTCATTTGAAGGCCCAATCATGGGTCTTATAGATATGACTTCTCGGTGTCCTCTTGATTTAACCTTCCATAATAGGATTTGAGCACAATTAACTGTATTGCTCCCAATTGTTTCTTCATAAAAGCTACTAAGCAATTTAAAATGCAAGGCCCGAAAGTAAAAAAAAAAAAAGCAATATCACTTGAGGCCTAACAGTAGTGAGTCTAGTGGGGGCCAATTTCCTCGTATGTTATTTGGCATTATAGAAACTCATTTCTTATGCCAAGGAGCCCCGTTTGACTTAGTATTTCAGCCTGTTGGGTAGGATATTGACCAATGAATTTCTCTTCTGTAACTTTCTTCAAGCTGCCATCAAGATGGAGATATTGGCGGCCCAGGAAGGCTGAAAGGCTAGTCAAAAGCAAGGCAATGTGGCACTTATCAAAACCATCTAACTAATGATCCAGTTGAAGAGACAAGGAGCTATCACATCAGCTACTGATTTACTTCAGCTTTCAGCTTTCAGCTTTCAGCTTTCAGAAGGTCCAGATCTCAGCAGCTTACAATCCACATCTGGAGTCTGTTAGCCAAGTGAAAATCTGCTGAGACAAATTTAGACTAGAGAGAAAAATTTGTCTAGTAAGTAGGGAAGTGAGGAATCCCAAGACCAAGGGAAAAATCCCATTTCAAAATCACGAGGGTGTACTCATCTGGGGTCCACTAGAGCTATGGCAGATCCAAGTCTCATGACTTTTTCATTTCCTGAAGTTCATGTGAATTTTAGTTTACAAAAAGTATTATTAGTATCACCCTTGTATTGAGATCCATACTTTAGTAAATGCAGGTAAGAGGTATCTGCAAGACAGCAGGAGTAGACTCAACCATTAAGACCTAGTAAAAGCTATGATATTGGGTCAGAGATATAAACATTAGACAGAGATCTTCTTAGCATGATGAGAAGCACCTTTAACTCTATCTCCAGAAGACAACCAAAGGGAAATTAAAATCTTGAGCTCCATCAGCTTATCAGTACTCTATTGATCAATGTCATAACTCTGAACTTCTGAAATCTTATACCAACATAAGTACAACAATAGCATAGAGTGGGGAAGAGAAATCTGAAATATCTCCCATTTTTAATATACCTTAAATTATTTTTTTATATTATTACAACTTGAATTCACATACCTTAAAACACCTTCTTAGATCCACAAACACTTTACAGCTTTCACTTACCAACCTTAAAATAGCTACTAAACTCTCCAATCTTCCTTGCATTTAGCAACTTTGAAACACCATCTTAAGAGGCTTCCCTTCATAACCTTCATTTACCAACCTTGAAATATCTTCCTAGACCCTCAAATAATTTTTTTTAGATCCTCATTACTTAAAACTTCTATATCCTCAGACCTTATGTAAATTTTCTATCTTTCTATCCAGTTATTCACCATAAGACACAAGAAGTTAACATGAAGCCTGTGAGCAAGGTAAACCTGTTTGGCTTTCTAAGTAAGAGAATTAGTACCTAGTAGTTTTAGCTAGCCAATCAATCAACTAATATACTGACAGTGAATCTAACTGTCTGCAAAGCTACCATTAGCTCAACTTAGCTGTCAATGTGACCAGAGACCTGAGAAGGATAAACTGTAACCTAAATGAATCTATGTACCAATCAAAATGACAGAGATGACAAGTCAGTCCACACCTAAGCAGTTGTCCCTGGCTCCTGTGGTTTCATGGCATCATGAGCAGAGGCAGTCTGGCCATCAGCCACAAAAACAGGCAGCAACAAAGAAGACAGTCAACCAGAATGACAGACATAGAGCCAGACAACAGATCCCACCCGCTTGTACCTCTCTCTCCATGCAGTAGAAAAACTGAAAGTAGGATAGTTTGTACCACAAAAGTGACCCATTTTGTCCTTATCCAGAGATTCTTAGATCACAGAAAGCTAGGGGTGTTCTATTACCCCTTACAGACAGGGGCATATCCATCTCCTCCAATGGGGTCTGGAACATCTTCCATAACCTCTGTGGCCCACAATTGGCCAGTGCATCTGCTTTAACTGTTTCCAACCACACAGATTACAGATGTTGCCTTCAGGCCCAAAACAGAAACTAGAGGAACACAGAGACAGACACAAAGTCAAGACGCTTACCAGACAGTACTGGACCCTTTGGCTCGGAGATCCTGGGGGGTCTTGGGGATTGTGAACACGCTCCCAAGATGTTATAGCCAAGTCTCATGGACCTCAAAGATCACCAAGGAGCCAATTCCCATGCAAACACAGTAGGGTATTTTGTTACAAGTTCATGCTCGAATCCACACCATCACCAGTACAGTGGTTCTTGAGTATAGAACCCCGAGCTCATGGGGAGGAGGGTTTTTATTGGATTACAGTGAGGTTTGGGAAATTCCAGTTAGGAAGTTCTATAATTGGTTGTTTGTCCAGAGAACAAAACCATATTTGTTTTACTCAACCTATTGTAAAGGACAGCTGGGTAAATTCTAGGTAATCACTGATTAGCCATTGCTAGGGGTGATGGTTAAATATTACTGGGTTTCCTCCAGGCTATTCTTTGGTAGGAGACTTCATTGTCATCTTCCTGGAATTGATGACCTTTCCTAATTCCTGGGACTGGTGGCTTTTGTGGTGGGGGGCTAGGCCTGGTTTTTCTCAAGGCAAAGAGTGCTCTTATACTGTTTTTAGGGGGTGGTCACCTGTTCTGGCAGTCCAGAGCCCCACATTGGATGCCAGCTGTGGTTCTTTGTTTTTTTCCTGGGGAGCTTTTGTCCATCAGCTGACGAAGGCAGGAGGAGAAGGCAAGGCTCAGGGCTCAGAAGGCTGACAGCAATAGAAATGAACTTCTGCAACCCCTTTAAGGAGAAAGTTCAACTTTATGAGGGGAAAACAAAAGCTATATACCCCTTGCACAATGGATAGCTGTCTCCCAGGATAAATGTACATAATTGATTGAAATTAGGCATTTCAGAGATACTTTATTTGAGTTTGGTAGCACGTTCCTATCATATGAAGGGGTACACAGTCCTTAATGACTCTATAGGCAGAGGGAGGGCAGAGCTAGAAGGGAACTGTGTCAAAGGCCATATATCAGTCATAGTTAAAGGTATCTATGCCTAAAGAGACTCTCTAGATGAGGTCAGACAGAAACTAGAATGTCCTCCTTGGGAGAGGGAGTCCTCCATCTAGCGCCAAGCTCAGAATGGCTATCTAGACTGGGAGGACTACTACTTCAAACAGCAGGGTCCTTCCAACAGAAAGACAGAATTGTCTACAAATCAATTCTATTAATTGTGATGGTTAATATTGACCGTTAACTGGAAAAGCTCTAGAACCACCCAGCATACAATCTGCTATGCACATCTTTGAAGACTTATCTAGATCCTGTAAGTCTCTGGTGTGTACTTCTGAGAGATGAGCGTATATAACAAGTTTACTGAAATGAGAAAACTCTCATTCCAGAAGTGATCGCACCATTCCATTCTGTGGGCTTGACATTGGATTATGTAATAAGGATCAACGTTTATCACTCTCTGATTGGTGACTGTTGATTAAGTGTGATTAACCACCACAACTTGCCTCTATGATAAGCAAAGGCTTTACCACATTGGTTACATTCATAGGGTTTCTCTAGAGTATGTAGGGTTTTTTTATGTATTTGAAGAAAATTTTGACTTGAAAAGGCTTTATCACGTTGATTACATTCATATATTCTTTTATATTTGAGAATACTGTGACTTGCAAGGCTTGAGCACAATGTTTCTATCCAGTATGTGTTCTTTTATGATATTGGAGGTTTTGGACATGAAAAGGCTTACTACATTGATTACATCCGTAAGTTTTCTCTCTAGTATGTGTTCATTTATGTGTTTGAAGACGACTGTTTTTTTTTTTTGTTTTTTTTTTGCAAAGGCTTTACCACATTGGTTACATTCATAAGGTTTCTCTCCAGTATGTTTTCATGTATTTGACGAAGAGTGTGACTTGTAAAATCTTTACCACATTGATTACATTCATTAGATTTTTTTTTTCCAGTTTGAATTCTTTCATGCCTTTGAAGACAAATGTTTTGTGCAAAGGCTCTGCCACATTGGTTATATTCATAAGGTTTCTCTCCAGGATGTGTTCTTTTATGTATTTGAAGATAACTGTGATATGCAAAGGCTTTACCACATTCGCTACATTCATAGGGTTTCTCTCCAGCGTATGTTCTTTTATATATTGGAAGTTGATTGCGAACTGTAAAGGCTTTACCACATTGATTACATTTATAGGGTTTCTCTCCAGTATTTGTTCTTTTATGATAATAGATTAAGTTGACTTGAAAAGGCTTTACCACATTGATACATTCATAAGGTTCCTCTCCAGTATGTGTTCTTTTTATTTGAAGATAACTGTGATATGTGGAGGCTTTACCACATTGGTTACATTTATGGGGTTTCTCTTCAGTATGTGTTATTTTATGCATTTGATGAAGACTACCATATGCACAGAACTTTACCACATTGGTTACACTCATAGGGTTTCTCCCTAGCACAAATGCAACCTTAACCCTCTACCACTAACCCTAACCTAACTCTAACCTTGACTCTGACCCTAAGCCCTAACTCTAATCCAACCCAACCTTAACCCCTTACCCTAACCCCTAACACTAACCCCCAAACCCTAACCCTCACCCACTCAACCGCTCACCTGATGACCTTAACCTTTGAACTACCACTTCCTGAAATCTGAATGGAAAAAAATCAGGTTACATTTCTTAGTATATCCTTAAACACTTATTTTGCTCTTTACACCATTCTTAAATATTAGTAAATAAAAGTATAGTAAGAACTTGTAAAACAAGTAACTTGATTTTTTGCTCTTAAGTTTTATTATTTTCTTAAGTTTGTGCATCATTTACAATGAGACATGTGCCTTACAAAGCCTTCTTATACCTAGAGCAAGGAATAGTTAATTCTTATAGCATGCACATAAATTTTATTCAGCTTATAAAATAAGGGAAGTAAATTTTAAGCCTTTAATTAAAAATTAAAATTATTACTCAAAAATGTCAATTATTTTGAGAATGAATATAAGTAGGAAATAATTATATAATTACAATGAAATTAGTAGTGCTCATAAAAATATATGGGAAAAACATTTTTAGTATGCCTGATGAACAAAAGAGGTGTTCCTGTGTGTATTAGATATATCATAAAAAAAAGAAGGTAGCATGAAGGTAGAAGATACCCAGATACTGATTATAGAACACAAAGATATTCAAGGCACATGACTAAGCTAACAATTGGCTGAGTTTAAAATGCTAATTTATTGTTTCATTGAGAAAAGAGTAAGCTATAATATCACTTCTATTTAATTTCACCTATTCATAAATAAATGCAATTATATCTAGGGCAAAAATTTTCTTCTTTTCAGATAGACAGCAACTACTAAATGACTGATGCCAAAATAGATAAAGAAGCATTGCACTCAAAAATTTTTATACTACAATAAATGTATGATAAGATATTTTGTATTTTTTCTATATCATTATACCATCTATTCTCTTTCAGGTTTTAAATTTTTCAAAATTAGGCAGATTAAAGAATTTGTTAAACCATAAAAAAGAAGTCAAACCCAAATCCTGGAACTGACTTCTAACTGTATTTACTTTGGGCTTTTCAAAGAATGGAAAACAAAAACAAAAACAAAAACATGACCACATTTTGTGAGGCTAAAATGCATGCACCTTTACTATGGCTCTCTTCTTTTTCTTTGGTGACTGAGAGGTATTTGGTTCCCCTCTCATCAATTATAAATTTTATTACTATGTTTGTCCCAAATATGCACAGAAGAAAAGAGAATATATAAAACCCATAATCCTCAACTTAACTTAATTCACGTTCTCAATTAAACTTTGTAATAGGGAAACTGAAGATACTAAACTATATGCAGTATGAATAAATAATGCACGAACTTTATTTCAGAAAGTAAATGCTGAGAGTAAGAAGGATAATTCTTGTGCTTCTAATGGGCTAGCAAATGTTTCCCACCTTATTGAAATAAAAACTCAATGTTAACCACATTACTTGTATGGGCTCCTGGATATAAGCAGCACCAACAATTTATTATAATTCCCCAAATTCTCTATTTATTATTTTGAAGCACCTAAAACTCTCCTATAACAAAAGAAACTGAAATGATATGTTAGCAATACAATCTGTCTCCCAATACTTTTGTGTGAATATACAAAGTTCCTAGACAGTTTTAGCAGACAGGCCTTAAGATTGGTGGTTTTCATGTTGGCAAACTCTTTGTATGCTACGAACAAAAGTGTCTTTCTAAGTAGAAGGTTCTACTTAACTAAAGAAACAGAGAAATGCTTTTTCTCCTGTAAATAATGGTTCAATGTGAAGTTCATTAAAATAAACCTTATGGTAGGACAAAATAAATCTGGAGGCATATAATACTATTAAAACAAGAAAAAGAGAAAAAGATTAAGGAAACTGGCAGGTACTTTCTGAGAGTAGTGAAAAGCCTGAGTCACATGGACTGCCTTTATGTCCTTTCACTCTCATATCCTTTGTTAATGGTAACTTTTTCTTTCTTATTTCTTCACACAGCTTGCCCATGTAAACCCACCACAGAGAAGTGACACAACGACATAGATGAATACCTGGAAGGATAAAGAAGGCAATTTTACTTACATGACTCTATTACATGGTTCATTAAAACCATTAACCATTAAAGAAACATTACCAGTACTAGGAGAGTAATAAGTCTTCACTAATGTAAACAATATATCAAAAATAAGGGGTTATTTTGAGGACAAATTTTATTATTTTCTTTTTTGTTAAATGTTAGCTTCTAAACAATGGGGGGATTCACAGTTTCAGAATTCTATAACTGTCACACAAGTGTATGTACACAATAAACTTCTTCGATCATGAGACAGGATTAACACAAAAGACATACCACACAGCTAACGAATTTTAGTTGAGATAAAATCACATATTCATTCATATATAATTCTTTGTATAAACTGAACTGGCTAAAAGTTTTACATATTAAAAGTGTATATATACAGGCATGTACACCTGTGACTGTATAGGTAGAAGCCAGAGAACTTTCAGTGCCTTCCTTTATTGTTTTCCTATTTATGTTTTTAGACAAAGTCTCTCACTGAATATGAAGCTCACCTTTTCAATTAGGTTGGTTACTAAACAAGCTCCCAGGATCAATATGTCTACACTGCACATGCGGGGGTTACAGGCCTGCATGGCTATGCCCAGCCTCTTAGGTTAAGTGTAAGAAATTTGGACTCAGGGCCTCTTGCTTACAGAGCAAGAGTCATCTCTTCAAACTCAATTTTATTTATGTCATTTAGGTACAAATATTCTCAAAAGAAGAAATAAAAGTTAAGTGAAGGATGGTATTTAATGCTGATTTCATAAGAAAAGGTACTTCCTGGTCATATATTTTACAATTAAAAGGTGAATGAGGCCCTTTTTAGAGAGCTAATCATTAAGAAAGAATTTCAGCACCCAATTCCTTCTTTCCTTCCTTTTCTTTTTTCCTTTCCTTCCTTTCTTCTTTTTCTTTTTTCCCTTCCTTCCCTCCCTCCATCCCTTTCTTTCTTTTTCTTTTTTTAAAACAGTGTTTCTCTGTGTAGTCATGGCTTTCCTGGAACTCACTTTGTAGACCAGGCTGGCCTTGGACTCAGAGATCTGTCTGCCCCTGGCTCCCAAGTGCTGGGATTAAAGGTGTCTTAAAGAATTTGGGCCACCATCTGGCTCAATTTCTTAAAGAGTGAAAAATAAGCTCATACACTAAAGAAAGAAAAACTTACAATTGATACGATGATGATGATGATAGTGAGCTTGATATTCTTCATACACATGGCTCGAGCAAGATTTCTGCTGGTAGTTTTGAAAGTGACAGACTAGAAAACAATCATCAGATGTTTTATTCTTGGCACTGACTATGAATGATTTGTAGTAACAGCCTTCAAGATCTTACTTTAATCAGTTCTCACACTTTTATGGTTCTAAAGATGGAACTCAGGGTCTAGATCACAGTAGATAAGAACTATACTACAGAGCTAGAGGCAAAGTGCCCTTTCACTATTCTGTTTAATTTCAAATATCCTTTTCCCCTTCCTTCTTTTTTCAAGAAGAGATTGGTCATTCAGAATCAGTAGTTCCCCAGAGCAGAGTTCTCTAAAACCTATAAAAAGCAGTATGAAATCATTGGCAAGGCTTCACTTTTTTTTCCTTCTCTATGTATAAATGCACATGGTGTTGAATCAACAAGTGGTTCTTTAAGAGAAAACATTTTCTATTTTAAATTTTTAATAAAGTTTTATGCTAAGCCAATTGGCTGCAAGCATACTAGTTTATTCTATCCAACATGAACTTTGGGCTTTGAACCAGACACATAAATCTGTTTGATTTTCCTAAAAACATAGGTATTTACTTATTATGTGTCAAAACCCCAGAGACACAGTCCTTTAATTATGCACTTTCTTTTGCATCATTACCTTTTCAGTATCAATTAATGCATTTTAACCAGGATACAAGAAGTTTAAAACAAATATAAAAACAAATAACAAAATGTACTAATTACTCAGCAATTCCAATCTTAGAAATATTATAAAAAGAGATATATAAAAGTTCAAAAGAGCCACATAAAAATGTTGTGGGCTGTTTTTCATACCTAAAACTGGAAACTACCAAAATATCCATAAACAATAATGAAATATTGTACAGTAATTAAAACAAATAATTTACTAATATTTTATATAGCCACTTATTATATCATGGGTTAATGTCACAATTTTGACAGAAAGAAAAATAGAGTAAATGTTACAGCTTCTTTCTATAATTTTTGTAGACATAGCCTTAGGTAGTACTGACTAACCTTAAATTTGCTATGTAGTCAAAGACATTGGAATCCTCATATTTTTGCCTACACTTTCAAAATGCTAGGATTATAAGAATGCACCCTTGACTGGTTTAGATGGCTAGTTTTTATGTCAACTTGACACATGCTAGATATATCTACGAGGAGGGAACCTCAATAGAAAAATGCCCACATAAGACGTGGCTGTTGGCAAGTCTGTAGGATGTTTTCTTCATTATGAGGGCCCAGCTCATTGAAGGTGGTCCTATCCTTGGGCTGATGGTCCTAGGTTCTATAAGACACCAGGATGAAAAAGCTATAAGGAAAAAGCCAAGTAAACTACACTCTTCCAAGGCCTCTGCATCAGCTCCTGCCTCAAGATTCCTGGCCTGTTTAAGTTCCTGCCCTGACTTCCTACAATGATATGACAGTGTAAGGCAAAATAAACCCTTTCCTTCCCAAGTTGATTTTGGTCATAGTGTTTCATTACAGCAACAGTAAACCTAAGACAGAAGTGATGGAGATTAAGCCCAGGGCTTTGTGCACACTATCCAAACATTCTACAAATTGGGTTATTTAACAGCTTTTTAATCTATGGGGATAAGTTAGGGCAGAGATCATCTTTCAAGGGGAGTAGTCATTCAGTAGACAAGGGTAGAAAAGTACCTCTAATTCTTAATCTTCATGTTGGCTCAATGAATGTGTTTGTTTTACATCAGTAAATTATTACAAACTACATATACTTACAAATACAACTTTTAAATATGGCTACTACATTTCAATTAACTGCTTTCTTTACAAATTCTCTACAGTGCAGCAGGTAACAAGGAATCAGCTTGGGGTTCATTTAGTGCAGAATGAACAGGATAAAATACATAAATCCAATTGCTACATAAGCATATATATACATATATATACACATATATATACATACTACATGCGAAAACTAACTACATTAAGCTGTAAACATTCATACCATAATTATGTACATTGACTAGAGCATATGAGAAGGGCCTACAAAAGTAAATGATCAGAGAAAATTGTCCTTTACCAAAAGAACAGTTAATAGTTAACAGATTATAAGAAAATAATAATAATAACTCTAACAATTATCTTCTTTCAGTCACACTTTTGGAAATATTTATTTTTGCACAGGGTTAGGGTCCTTGAGTTTTGGAAGTATTTATTTTCAGCATATGATTTCAGAGGACTCAGTCTATTCACTTGGTCCCATATGCTTTGCCAGAACAGTATGATGATGGCAATGCATGGCAAAGACTACTTACCTCATGGTGGACAGAAAGTGGAAAAAAGGAGACTGGAAAGGTGAAAGGATAAGACAACCTCAAGAACCACCCCTTTAACATGCCTTTAATCCCAGTACTCAAGATACAGAGGAAAGTAGATCTCTAGGGTTGAGGCCAGCCTGGTTTACATATGTAATTTCAGGCCAGCCAGGGCTATATAGTAAGACAATTGTGGGCCACTATACGGGTGCTGAAAACTGAACCCAGGTCTTCTGCAGGAGCAATAAGTACAAATAAATGACAAAAAAATATTTCCACTTCCAGAATGATCTGCTTGGATATGTGAAGACATTGTTGTAAAAATCTGACTGAAAGAAGTTACTATTATTATTCTCTTATAATTTGTGTTAACTGCTGAGCTATCTCTCCAGCCTTACACAGGAAAACTTTTAATAGTAAAAAGCTATAACACATTCCAAATCAATGACCGAAAACAGAAAAACTCTCAGCACATTTCCCCCACCAAATACAGAGAAATGAACTATTAGAATCCACCCCCCTTTTTTATTGACACAGCGTCTCTCTGTGTAACTGAGCCCTGATTGTCCTAGATTCATTCTGTAGACCAGGCTGACCTCAAAGTCATAGAGATCTGTCTGCCTTTGCATCTTGAGCACTGGTATTAGAGACATTTGCTACCATGCCCAGCCCAACTACTAGAATCTTAGCTGTTCATGATAACAGGTGTCCCTATTTCTCTATGTAAAAAGGCTCTGAGTGGATTACCATATTTTAATCTGGATAAATCTCATTACTCAAGAATTTCATCTCCATGTACCTTTGGGACCTGATTGCTATGGCTGTTTCCCTTTCTTGCTATGAAAAAGAATATTCTTGTTTATTGGCCAGGCTATCACATAATTGATATAAGAAAGTGATTTGCAAAAGTAAGTTAAGTAAGTTAAGAAGTTGTGAGATACCAGGTTATTGGGTATGCTTTTTCTAAACTATTATAATGTTTATAGAGAAAGAAGTCAAGTATGAGCATGCAAGTAAATCCACAGTTACAGAGGATCCATGTAAACAACAGTAGGTAGCTGTGATGCAATAAAAACAAGCTGAATAACCCTGACACACTCAAATATTACCTTAATTATTCAAAAAAAATTCCTGAAGCAACTTGCTAGTATTGTTACAGTGCTAAACATTAAAATAGCAAGTTTTAGTTTATCTAAATTTTAAAATATTAAGAAAAACATTACAGTATTTCAATTCTTAAATTATATATATATATTTAATTAGCTTTATTTATAGATTAAGGACTTTTTCCAGAGTCCAGTGACATTGAATAGAATCTTTACACATAAAAAAATCTATGCAGAATCCTAAGATAACAGATGTTGGTACTTATCAAGAAGAGGCATGTGTGGCTACTAGCAGCTCTCTATGTCTCAGTTTCTCAGAAGTAATTTTGCTGCAGTCCCTATATAACATGATTTTGAAGACAAGGCTATCAAATCCCACAGCAGAGTTTTGTTTTGATTCTTTTTGTTTGTGTATGTGATATGAGTATGTTCTGCACTAGATGTGATATGAGTATATTCTGCACTAGAAAATGGTTTTCCAGCATACACATCTTCTAAATGTTAAGCTGTCTGTTTGCACATTTCCTGATTTTGTTGGTACGTATTTGCTATTACTGCATCTTGTAGATCTTGTTCTGTAGATGCCAACAGTACTTGCAATGACAATAGTATGCAGGACCTTGTTGCTACTACCATCCATTGGTTTTTCAGAATATCCAAACAGGTATCCCCCCTGACAGAGCTAGTATTAGGATGTCATATTTTAGAGGTAAATAAGACTTTAAGAATGTTAAACGAATGTGACACTTTGAATGAAAAATGTATCTAACAGGCTCTGGCATTTGAACACAAGGTTCCCAGTTGGTGACACTGCTTAGGGGTGTTTAGGAGCTTCAGCATTGCTGGAGGAATTATGTCACTGGGTGTCAACTTTGAGAGCATAAAGTCTTGGCCTACATTTCCAGTGCTCTCTCTGTTTCATGTCATAGTCTCTATTTCCTGATTCTTCCACTATGACTACCGTTAGCTACCATGCCCACTCAACATAATGGACTCATTGTCACTGGAACAATAAGTCAAAATTAATTTTTTCATCTAATAAGACAATGCTTCTGATAAGGGTATTTTGTTACAACAGAGAAGTAACTAATAAAATGCATATGTTTCCAGTATTTTAATCTTTATTTGGTATATTATTCCTAACAGGATGTGTCTTACTTCTTTATTGCTGTGAAGAGACACCATGACCAAGGTACCATAACCTCCTCCACCATTTCTATCACCAAGAATGAACACTACCACTGGCACCCCTGCCAACATGTTGCACATCAATGCTGGAATCCCCTACACCTTAGCCACCCAAATCTCTAATGGATCTAAAGCCTGCTCCACAAGATGGATCTCATGCTCAGTATGTTAAGTAGGTCCCAAATTCCACAGATAGATAGGATACAGGCATGAGAAGGTAATCTAGTATTATTCTACAAAATGGTCATAATAATAAACTTCCCGCTGAATTTTCATCTTTCTATCAGTGCATCTCCCAATCCACACAAGAGATTCTATTTACAATAGATGGTGATTAATGAAGAGAACAATAAACTAGTTAACATGCAGACAATAACAGACTGTGGACTGCCCATCTCTAAACAGGACACCTATATCACACACTTCCTCCCACAAGGCTCAGGGAGCATCATGGGTAAAAAGGTGAAAAGATTGTAAGAGACAAAGGCATTGGATATCTGCAGCAAAAGTCTTCTTGCCAGATATAATAGAGCCACTGAATGCATAGACACAAAGCATCGGTGAATACATGTACAAGATTAAGGCAGCCAAAACCCAAGCATGGACTGGGGAGGAGCTCATGAGACCCCACCCTTAACTGAGGACCTACTGTCAATTAATGGCTGCTAGGTAAGGAAGAACCAGTTTACTTTAGGGATTTCATCCATGAGACAACCCTATGCCCTTGTAGATTGTCCTACAGGAGTACATATACAGGAAGCACTGAATGGACTCAGCACACAAAGTTGGGAGAGAAACATGAGAAAGGATAGGGGATGAAATGGCAGGGAGGGGAAGTTGGCTAGCATTGATCAAAATGAATTATAAGCATATATGAAATTTTATTAGTGGGAGGCCTGCTCTTTTCTGAAGGAAAATGGAAAATGAATGGATCTGGAGGAGAGGAAAAATGTAGAGGGAAGGATAGGGAGGAGAGAAGGAAGGACAGGAGAAAGGGGAAATTACAGTGGGGATATAATATATGAAGAATAATACATACATAAATGAATTTTTCAAAAAACAAAAAACTAAGAATCTTTACATCATTCTTCTACTTACCACATACTTTGATGAAAAAAATTGTAAAGTGCTACAAAACCCAACATTTTTCATGCTGTCAATATTAAAATTAAAAACAGAAGTTCAAATACCTGTTAGAATGTAACAGATATCATGTCAAGCACTTTATATGCACCATATAGTTTAATTCTCAAAACTCAATTTAAAAAGTATATTGGCATTTTATAGATTATGACAGCTGAGGTATAAAGAGTTTCAGTAATATGCTTAAGGTCATACTACTAACAAATGGTATTCAAATTGAGGGAGTCTGATTTTAGAGTTTGGGTTCTTAATCACTACAGTCTGGCTACCAGTCACCATCAACATAACTATGATTTTTATATTCATTGTCATCTTTACAGCATCAATAATCACCTTAGAGACATGTATGCATGTCTGTGATGAATTATCTCAATTAATTAAAGTAGGAAGATACACCTTAAATATGGGCAGCATCATTCCCTGACATGAAGTTCTGGACTAAATAAAGAAGAGAAAGCAAGCTGAGAGTTAGCATTCATTGCTTTCTGTCTTGTGAATGTGTATGCAATATGATCAGCTGCCACCTCAAAATTTTGCCTCTATGATTTCCTCACCAGAATAAAACCTCCATACTGTGAGCCAAAATAAGTTGTTTTTGTCAGGTATTTTGTCACAACAATGAAGAAAGCAATTAATATCAGTAATCACTAACGGTTTTCAATGTGAAAAATTTTATCTCTATATATTTATCTTTTTTAACACTTTTTACAATGAACAACATATAAAATATAAAGAAACATTTGAGAACAGAACGAACAACCCATAGGGACAAACTTCCTTAAGCTAAGGATTAAAGGCACATTTCAACCTATGCCTTGATATAAAGAAAACATCAAGCTAACACTATAGATATCAAAGGAAATTGCATAGTTTCAGGATTCACAGTAAGTCATATCAAGCCGAAACTTCCAGAAGAAGTACATACACGATGAGTTATTTATCAGTTGAAAAACTTTACCTAAATCTAAAGTTTTAGAAAATAATTTCTGTATACTGAATATATTTTCTAAACAAAAGCTAATTAATGGCTACTGAGAGATTGTGTTTTTTTGTATGTCTCACTGCTACCCTTCTAATCACAATATAACAACTTAATAGACATGAGAAGTGAAACATAAACATCTTACTATAAAATTTAAGATATTTTCAAATTATCTTAGTCATCAGTGCAGTTGTTTTAATGCCCTGGAAAAAAATATCACAGTCCATACTTACTGAATCCACAAGGTTTTCTGTTTTATCTATCAGTAATTCCAGTCTTTCTCCACGTTGAGCAACCAAATCTGTAAACATTTTTAGAAATAAAAATAATGTTTTATATTAGAAACAAAGGAACCCAACCCACCAAAGCCAAGGCCCTAAAACTGAGACCAAAATTCCAGGAAATCACTATTTGACTGCAGAAGAAAAGTAACTGACCCCAATTTAAGACAACTGGTAGTTGCAAAAAGAAACAACAGACTCTACAGTTTCAAAAACTTAGTATTTATAGAAAACAGGTAACTTCCTCATTCTGCTCCTAACAAATGCCTTCCTATTTTCCCTATCATTACAAAACCTCCAGATTGGAGAATGTGAACTGTGTTCTCTTGAACTCTGGTCATTGAATGACTCCATGTTTTACCATGATCATGGTAAGGTCAGAACTCAAGATGAAACCTCTTTGGCATTAAACAAAGCCCACTCTAGTTTTTGAGGTCATCTAAATTCTCTTCTTTTACTTTTTCCTATAAACTTAATCATTCCAAACCCTTAAAATAAATATGCAGTTTTGAGGCCAGCAAGGAAAACCAGAAAGTAAGGGTGCTTGGCGCCAATCCTGACAACCTGAATTCAATTTCCATAACACATATAAAGGTAGGAGAGTTGTCCCCTGACCTTCATACCCACACTGTGGTATGTACCAGGTACCACACATAAATAATTTAAAATATATGAATATAACAATAAGATATTGAGTCAATAACTTCAAAACTATACACAAGGAAAATAAATGCCTAGATAGCTTCAAAGATGAATTCTATATAAAATATTTTTAAATGCACCAATTTATCAAGAATTTCTCCAAAAAAAAAAGAAATACTTTAAAAATTATTATATTATTTGGTATTAAAGTCAAACAAAGACATCACAAAAGGATCTGGGGATGTGGTTCACTTGGCAAAGTTCTTGGCCAGCATGCATAAACCCTGGATTTAATCCTTAGTACTGCATAAAATGGTACAGACCTGTAATCCCAATACTTTGGAGGTCAAATCGGGGTGTGATGGTTAATTTCAACTTTACACAACTTAGGATCACTTGGGAAGATAGTATGAATGAAATATTGTCTAGATTAGATTGGACTATGAGTAATTGTCTTATTTGCCTTAATTGATGCAAGAAGACCCAGCCAAAATGTAGGTAGCAATCATTTCCTGTTTTCAACCCTGGGACATATAAGAGTAGAAAGAGGTAGATGAGCACTTATGCATGCATTTATTTTTTCTACTCTTCATTGTAGATGTGATACAACTAGCTGCTTCAAGCTACTGCCTTTGTGACTTTCCTGCTGTGACAGACAATAACATGGAATTGTAAGCTAAAATAAACTTTTCTTCTCTAAGTTGCTTATCTCAGAATATTTTATTAAAATAAGAGAAAGAAAACTAAAATGCAGGAGGACCAGAAGTTCAAGGTCTTCTTCAGCTACATAACAAGTTTGAGAACAGCCAAAGATAGGCAAGATGTCTTACAACAAGGACACCATAAATGGAGAAAACAAATACGCTAAAACCCCCTGACACACACACACACACACACACACACACACACACACACACACTCTCTCTCTCTCTCTCTCTCTCACACACACACACACACACATACAAACACATACACACACACACTCTCTCTTTCATTCACTGTGGGTGAGGCCATCCCTGAGCTAGTGGTCCTGGATCTATAAGAAGGCATGCTGAGGAAGCCATAGAGAGCAAGCCAGTAAACAACACCATTCCACAGCTTTTACATCGGCTCCTGCCTCCAGCAGCCCTGTCACGTACTAACTTCCTTTGATGATAGACTATGATGGAGAAGTGTAAACCAAAACCCTTTTTCTACTCAAATTCCTTTTGTTCATGGTGTTTCATCACAGCAATACTAGCCATAATGAAGACACTGCCTGATACACAGATCAAGGAAGCAAGAAGGCTAGCTGCAGATCTTCAGTGTTCCCTCCTTTCTTCCAAATCCAAAACCCTAGTCTCATACTAGACCACCTGCTGCAGGCTCTCCTCACTTTTTGCCATCATTTCCAAAGGATCACACAGATCTCTTCCAAACTTCCCCAACAATCATACCTTTGTCTCAGCCCTCTACTTCCAGCAGGCATTCCCTGGGAACCCACCAGCCAAACTTTCCATAGAAGCAAAAAGACCAATGAAGAACAAAGCTGAGCTTCAGCATTAAACTCTCTTTTACTCCAAATTCAATACACATGTCTCATCTGCAGCTCTGCAGCAGACTACCTGTTGTGGCCTCTTTCCCATCATTCTCAGGGGACTAAGCAGATCACAGTGAAACACCTTACTTTCCTCCCCCACTGTGGAATTCCTCTCTTATAGCTCATTCTTATTCCTAAGTATCATCTCCCAACAACTAGAAAAACACTGAACCAGGAATCCCCAGTGAGATACTTAGAAACATTCCCTATCAGGCAACACACAGTCACCATATCCTTCTAAGAACAAGAGAGGGCAACAGAAATCAAGGAACAAAACATCCACCCAACAAAGGCAAGACCAGGTATTAGCACCTATATCAGCAGTTCTTAAACCATGTGTCACAATCCCGGAGAGAAGTCTTGTATCAGATATCCTGCATATCAGACATTTACATTCTGATCCATAACAGTAGCAAAATTACAGTTATAAAGTAGCAACAAAAATAATTTTGTGATTGGGGGTCACCACAACATGAGAAACTATATTAAAGGGTCATAGAATTAGGAAAGTTGAGAACCACAGACCTAGATGGTGAGAACAAGGAAGTGCTGTTTCATCCTCCCTACAGCAATCTGACTCAAATCTAGTAATCCATTGTTATTTTGTGTTCATATGAATTATGAAATTAATTATGCTATTAAAACATACCGATGTTTCTGACCATTATTCCTTTCAGTTCATCCACTTGTGCTTGAGTCTCCACCACTCTGTCAAGGCCCTTATTCTCGGAATGGTGCTTCTACAAGATATTAAGTTTTAACTTAAAACATTAAGATATGATTTGCAATAAAAAATAAAGAATAACAACTTATAATAAAAATGCTATACAATTAAGGTTCTATTATATAAAAACACATATAAAATAGTATTAGATTTAGGAAAAATATTGGCAATATAAAAATTGCTATCATATGAAATGCATTTTAGTATAAATATATTATTTTAAATCAAATTCAGTGAATGTATTACAATATATGAAATATTTGAGAATCTTAGGACAGAAGTGAGGGGATATGTAATCTGTTGTTTATATAGGAAAGAAGGAGAAATTAAAAAAATGACTATAGTTGGGATGGGAAGAAGCAGGATAGAATAAAGGTACCCTTAATTTTTCCTCACTTCTTGAATATGATTAAACAGGGGCATGTTCATTTCCTTGAAATTTTGTTCTATTTGTTGGGATAAAAACATTGGCTTCTCACAAGAGCTAGAATCTAAAACACTGATGATAATATATATTTTGAAATTATTCAAGGCTGACAACTATAAAGTACTTAATACATAATATTACACATATTTCACTAAGGGAGGTGATTTAGAAAAGATATTATTAGGTCCACTTTAAACTCTTTGATGTAGATATTTTCATTACCTCTGTTATAGGGAAGATATTAGTAATTCAAAGGATCACACACAGATTTGTAGCTAATAACAAACAAGTTTTTACTTTTGCTGCTACTTAGAATATTTTTAAAAACAAGTGAAGCTGATTAAAAATGTATAGTTTTCAATATTCACAATCAAAAGATAGTTAGAAGTTATGCATTTGCACTTAAATACTCTTACAGATAAACGTAAAGTATTTTGAAAGATGCTGACCATCATTCCAATCATAAAAATGCAGATTAAAAACACAATGAGATACCAGGGCATACCCACCAAAATGAATGACAGACACAGTAAATGTTGACAAGGATGAAAAATACTAGAACTGCCAATGATAATTTAAATGGTATAATAACTTTGGAAAAATAGTGTGATAAAATTTTAAATTACATATCATTTACCATCTGGCCCGGCAATTCCATTCCTAGGTATTTACCAGAGAAATAAAAACATATGTCCACACAAAGATTTGAAATTCACAGCAGCTTTACTCATGACAGTTGAAAACTAATGGCAACACAATGTCAAGCAACAAGTAAATAGGTAAAACAGTATGCATATAGTATCGTTTAGCAGAAAAACAAAATATGCTGCTGACGGATAGATAGTAGAAGCATAAAAATGAGGAAAAAATTAGACATAACTGAGTACTTACTTTATGATTGTGTTTATAGAAAAATCTAAAAATGACAAAACTAATCTATAGAGAGTAAATATTGATCAATAATTTACTGGGATAGAATATTTGGGTAGGTGACTTACTAAAGAAGGAAGATAGGGGAAAGTTCATGGTAATGGTACGGTTTTTATTTATTTATTTTTTATCAATTACAGTGTATTCACTTTGTATCCCAGCTGTAGCCCCCTCCCTTGCCCTCTCCCAATCCTGTGCTCCCTCCCTCTTCTCCTCCCATAATGGAAAGGTTTTTAATCTTGACTATGGTGGCATTTCAGAGTTACACACACACACTTCATCAATTCAGCTGACAACAAGGTAGTTATGAAGATGAACAGATTTTTACATGACTAATTTGAGGTATTCAAAAATCAAACTTACCTCAAGGATGAGGAAAAGGTTTATACACAGGTTAAAAGGCCAGTTGACATGGTTTTAAGCATTAGATAAGTAGTCAAATTTGCCTGTATTTAACATTCTTTCAAATCCTGAGATATGCTACTAGTAATAGAGAATATCACCAATTAGCTTTTTGCATTTAAATGAACCCTTTACATCTTTTCAAAGGGAAGTTTTATTACGTTGCCTTATAGTGAAACAATCAGAAAAGTGTTCTACAGGTGAAAGTAATGAAGAAAATATAAAACAAAAGGATATGTCCTGAGAAAAACCTTACCAGTTGTGCAGCCAAAACACTCGAAAACTCGCTATTCATGGCATATGGAAGTGCGGTCTGTGCTCTTGAACCATAAGTAGTCTGGAACCTCTTCTTTACTTCATTCAGAAAACTGAAGGCTCGAGAACGCTCAAAATCCTTTAAAATTATCGATACAGTATTCACATTTACAAAGTAAACAACTATATGTGGCAGATTGATAAGAACAATATAACAGGTAATGTTTACAAACTAATTACACCATGAAGAAAAACCAGAACTGATCTCGTTTCATAGATCAGGAACCAAAGACTCCATAAAACAACTAACTTGTATCAAACAGCTAGTAAATTTAAAAGCTAATACCCAAATCCAAACTAAAGACAATGGTATGTAATTATTAACTCAGGGGTTAGAAGTTGATTTGTTATTTCACATGATCTATTGCAAGGTCTAACATAAGGAAATGCTCAATGAATCCATAAAAATAGTATAGTTTGGGGGCTGGAGAGATGGCTCAGTGGTTTAAGAGTGCTTGCTACTCTTTGAGAGGACCCAAAGTTTGGTTCACAGCATCCAGGTTGGGTAGCTCACAACTGCCAATAACTCCAGCTCCAAGGGATCTGACTTGTTCTTCGGACCTCTGTGGACATTGCCACATATAGATATACACATACGCAAAAACAAAATAAAAAGTCTGTTTTTTAATATATAAAGATATATTAAAGTTTTTTAATATATAAAGATAACGCAATTGATACGAATTTTAAACTGATATATCTCAGTATTAGTGATTTATCTTAAAAAAGTCAAGTGATGTAACCTGTCTACTCTTAGTCAGTAAGAAAGTTGTGTAGATGTGTGTGTGTGTACACACTTGCAGCAAATCACAGCTTAAGAATTTTGCTGCTCAACTTGGACCATTTGAGATTCTATGACAGGTCTCATCAGATCACACCAGTCCTTTCAGATGCAGCTAGACTTTATTGTGAAACCTACTGTGAAAGCTAAAGGCCACTGTGATGATCACTATAATTGAATATCATTTTTGCTTAGCTTAAACCAAAGATTCTTTATCATTTTGTACATATGGGTGTTTTGCCTGCATGTATGCCTATGCACTATGTGTGTGCAGTGACTAAGAGAACACAAGAATGTACCACATCTCCAGAGATGGGAGATATATATATTTGCCATGTGGGTGCTAGGGATGATATCTGATTCCTCTGGATGAGAAGTCAGTGTTTTTAACCACTGCCATCACTACAGCATGGATTCTTGAACTAGGATCAATGGCCAGAATTCTAGGGGTACTTGTATTAGGATACAAAGAAATATTATACTGTTAGTTTCAACATTCATTGGGTTAAATTTCAATTCTGAGTAGAAGTAACGAAACAAAGGATTATTAAACCATACCTATAGCTTAATCATCACAGAAATATTTGTTATTATACTATCATGATTATGGGAATTTTGAAATAGTCTATATGCATTACCATTTCAAAATTATTAGGCTGACAGCTAGATATTGTCAATGAAGACATAAAAAGTATATTCATTACTGTATCATTAAACATATACTGAGTATTATATGTAGGTAAAGTTGATTTTGTTTAGAATCCTGTGTTCTGGTTCATACATTTAACAACATTTGCAGTGAAGCCACAGTGACTGAGGAGTCTGAGACAATAAAGATATTTTAATTTTATATATTTATTTTTAATTTATTATAATTTATTCACTTTGTATCCAAGCTGTAGCCCCATCCCTCAACTTCTCCTAATTCCACTCTCCTTCCCTGTACTCCTAACATGGCACTCCCTCAGTCCAATGATAGTGGACGTCCCCCTCCCTGTCCATCTGACCCTAGCTTATCAGGTCTCATAAGGACTGCTGCAATGTCTTCTTCTGTGATCTGCTAAGGCCACTCCCACCCCACAGCTGGGTGAGGTGACCGAACAGACAGCCACTGAGTTCATGTCAGAGACAGTCCCTGTTTCCCTCACTAGTGAACCCGCTTGGAGACTGAGCTGCCTTGGGTTATATCTGAGTAGGTGTTCTAGGTCATCTCCATGCAAGGTCCTTGGTTCAAGTACTGGTCATTCTGTTGGTCTCCTTGTGGAGCTCCTGTCCCCTCCTGGTCTTTCTCTCTCTCCCTTCTTTCATAAAATTCCCTACACTCTGCCCAAAGTTTGGCTAAGAGTCTCAGCATCTGCTTTGATACCCTGCTGGGTAGAGCCTTTCAGAAGCCTCTGTGGTAGACTCCTGTCCTGTTTCCTGTTTTCTCCCACTTCCGATGTTTATTCTAACAAGAAAGTTTAAGAAAATTGATTTTAAGCAGTCATCAACAGTCTCCCTTCCAAAACAAACAAACAAACAAAAAAGCCCTGGACCAGATGGATTCAGTGCAGAATTCTACCAGACCTTCAAAAAAGTGCTAACTCCAATTCTCTCCAAACTATTCCACAACATAGAAACAGAAGGAAAATTACCAAACTCATTCTATGAAGCCACAGTCACCTTCATACCTAAACCACACAAAGACCCAACCAAAAAAAAAAAAAAAAATAGAATTTCAGACCTATCTCTCTTATGAACATTGACGCAAAAATACTCAATAAAATATTTGCAAACCGAATCCAAGAACACATAAAAGATGCTGGAGAGGTTGTGAAGAAAGGCGAACCCTCCTCCACTCCTGGTGGGAATGTAAACTGGTACAACTACTTTGGAAATCAATCTGGCGCTTTCTCAGACAATTAGGAATAGTGCTTCCTCAAGACCCAGCTATATCACTCCTAGGCATATACCCAAATTTTGTTCAAGTACACAACAAGGACATTTGCTCAACCATGTTTGCAGCAGCTTTATTTATAATAGCAAAAACCTGGAAACAACCCAGATGTCCATCAACGGAGGAATGGATACAGAAAGTGGTATTTTTACACAATGGAATACTACTCAGCAATCAAAAACAAGAAAATCATGAAATTTGCAGGCAAATGGTGGGACCTAGAAATGATCATCCTGAGTAAGGTATCCCAAAAGCAGAAAGACACACATGGTATATACTCACTTATCCTATGAGATAGGATAAACATACCAAAATATGTACACCTAAAGAAGATAAACAAGAAAGAAGACCCAGGGTAAGATGATCAATCCTCACTTAGAAAAACAAATGGGATGGGCATTGGACATAGGAGAAAACAAGTAAGAGGACAGGAGCCTAATGCAGAAGGCCTCTGAAAGACTCTACCTAGCAGTGTATCAAAGCAGATACTAAGACTCATAACCAAACCTTCTGCAGAGTGCAGAGAATCATATGAAAGAAGGGGGAGTTAGTATGATGTAGAGAGGATAGGAGCTCCACAAGGACCAAATATATCTAGGCACAGGGGTCTTTTCTAAGACTGATACTCCACCAAGGACCATATATGGATATAACTTACAACCTCTGCTCAGATGTAGCCCGTGTTAGCTCAGTAACCAATTGGTTTTCCCTAGTAATGGAAACAGGGACTATTTCTGACAGGAACTCAATGGCAGGCTCTTTGACCTCCCCACCCCCCAAGGGAGGAGCAGTCAGTCCTACTAGGCCACAGAGGAGGACTTTCCAGCCCTGAAAATGCCTGATAAACCAGGGTCAGATGAAAGGGGAGGAGGTCCTCCCCAATCAGTGGACTTGGAAAGGGGCAGGGAGATGAGGGAGGGAGGATGGGACTGGGAGGGAATGAGGGAGTGGGATACAGCTGGGATACAGAGTTAATAAAGTGTAACTAATAATAAAAATTAAAAGAACATTTATTTATGGAAAACATGACTATTCCATGATTCTGTCAGAGAACAGCTTAGAAATAAGCACATGACCAGTATGAGATGAAACGAATTTAACTTTCAAAGAAGATAATGGGGTATGTTATCCTCATTCCTACAATAACAGTTCAAAGAACACAGTCCCTCTTCTTTGTATACAAATAAGCAGCCATGTAGCTACTTGCAACCATAAGGTGAAATTGTAAGAAACTGAAAACGAGTAAAAGACAAAACATTCCATGATGACATTATTAAGTTACTGATCATTCTGTGCTTATAGCCAAAATACTCAGAAAACAATCCAACCAATGTAAACTATACATTTATGTAGTTGATAATAATGTCCTATGATATTGCTTTTCCAAAGTACAAGTATATAAAAATATTAACTAGGGGGATCCAATATGGGGGCAATCAGCGCACACCATAGCTGAAGAGCAGAGGATCCAAAACTAAAAAACTGGTAAGTGGAAGGGCAGCTGAAGCCAGAACATCGACATTGACACTTCCTGTGCAAGAGGGGACAACCTGTGAGATGAGACCATTTGAATCCAGGTCACCCGTGGACATCTCCAGTGACTTAGAGTAGCGAATATTCAAATCCCCTGTACTTCCCCTTAATGGGCCTCTCTCCTCAGTAGAAGCGGCCCACAGTGCCCTCTGTTCCTAGCATAGAACTCCCTGATCAGTAACTGAAACAGCTGAAACAGGCCTCCCAGTTCCTCAACTGGCTGTACGGGCATCCCAGTTTCACAGGCAGATGTACAGGCAACACAGGGCCTCTCAGCCTGCAACTATACAGGCCTCCCAGTTCAGCAGATGCAGAACCACTGAGCTGAAAAATCTCCTACAATTGCAGGCCCAAATCTGAGGGTAGAGAGCAGGGGGAACCCCAGTGCTTTCCAATTAGGGCTGCTAGAGAGTGAGTGTGCCTTCAAGTGAGTGCATCCAGAGCCCAAAATCCAGGGTCCCTCAACACTAGCAGCCAGACATCAGATCCCTCCCACCCACAGCCCCACTGTGGGCAACATAGGGATTCATGGGACAGCGTTCTCAACATTGAAAACCCTGTTCTGTGTGTCTATGACTGCAGTCCAGAGAAACAAATCCTGTAGCCAAGACAGATCTGAATACCAGGAGGACGGAATGACAGGCCTGTAGGCCACTACTTTATTTAGGGAACATGTAAATCTGCATTGCACCTGCAAACAGCACCCGTACCCACATCCCCTCCTGTGCTTAAGTCCCATGTTCCAGGCATCTATACTCTCTAGCACCCTGTCCTTCAAGGCATACTTCCACACACAGGACTACACTTGCTAGCTGGCACTTGTGCACTT